TTATTCCTCTCTTTGGATGATAACCACAATTCATTATTCATCAGGTATAGTTATGTATGCATTGGTGAGCTAGCAGGATTCATCAATGGATGGCTGTCTACCGTGCCGTAATGATGTTTTTCCCTTCCTATCATGTAAGCTTGTGATTATTATCAGGTACTGTATAGCATCAGCTGCAGTAGCACGAGGTTGGGCTAATTATGTACAATGTTTCATACGTGCTGCATTTGGTGTAATACTACCATCATGGATGTATGCTACACCTACTCAATATGGTATCATATCATTCTCCTTCCTAGCACCAACTCTATGCGCTATATGTAATACTATAAGCCTTATTGCCACAATACCATCCCTATTCTGTTAGGTACTCTCATTTGTTTGTCGGGTGTAAAGGAGAGTGCTACCTTTAGCTTTAGTATGGCATGCCTTAATGTTGCCTTGTTGCTAACCTTTTCTCTCTATGGATCATATATGTACTACTCTTATCATCATTATTATTATTCTTTTAATACCTACATCAGGTACGGGGACGTTGGTAATATGGATCCATTCACCCTCCCTAGTGATGTGGCAGTTGATGGGGTCGGAGGCTTTGCAGGGGTAATTCGTCTGTAGAGAGCAGCAGGTGTTGTTGCTGTAGTGAGGTGGTTAGTAGGTACTACGTGGATCTGGCCTAGCTTTCTTCTGCTGTGTTGGCTGGGATGCTGTATGTACATTGAGTGAGGAGGTTAGGAATCCTAAAAGGGATATACCATGGGGCATTATGGGTATTACCTCTATTATACAATAGCTCCAATCCTGTGCAAATCACTTCCATCATCCTTATCATCACCAGGCACACTACTTATCGTAGCACTATTGTACTCTATGCTATGTATCACCTTATGCCTCATGGTCCCAATAGAGAGCATCGATTTGGATGCACCATTAGCTACAGCATTCCAGTAATATATTACTTCCATCCATTAACATCATGTTATTCATGATAGATACCATCATGACAACTGGGGTTATATTATAACATCTCTGGCAGCTACAACCGTCTGTACTACTATTACTATAACTTCACTGTTCGATGGTCATCATCATAAGGTACTCCAAGTGTTATGAGTGGTATAGTAGGACAGCCTCGTATCTGGTATAGAATGGCTTTGGATGGCCTACTCTTCAAACCCCTAGCCAAACTTAGTGCCCAGGATGTGCCTGTTGTTGGTAGTAAAGCTTATCATCATCATCATCATCACCCTCATACATTATGTCGTCATACTACTTACAGGCACTACCATATGTGGTATTATTGCGACCCTACTATCAGCCGTGTGCGATTTTGAGCCCTTAGCTGGAATGACCAGTTTCAGTGAGTGAACGTCGTTGTATTGATCGTAGTAGCTCCCCCGTTTGGATAGGTACATTGGCTATGTTCACGCTGGTTAATGGTGGTATTATATTGACCCGAGCTGAGGATAATTCTGTGAGAGATAGTAGTCATCATCATCCTTCTACTTCTACGACCAACATCACCTACTCCATCTCTCTTTTTGTAAGTCCTCCTCTACTCCCTTACTCTACGTTATTGCCTTGTAGTTCATTCTATCGATTGCCTTCCACTACGTTGCCCTGCTCCATGGCTTCCTCACATGTTCGGGCATAGCCCTGGCAACGCTCAATCTTGCCAGTTTAGCTTGGCTACTCTACGCCTATTATGCTGCTATCGCACCCTATGTCAATAAGAGTAACGTCGATGGGTACGTTCACTCCTCCAACATTATCATTTACACGACTATCATCCTTTCTCAGACATAGTGAGCCCCTCCTCGTCGGTCAAAGAGATAAAGAAGATACAGGTAACACCCCACCGTATTATTAGCGTATGTACACTGAATCCCTTTTAGCCGAAGATGATAACCATTCCCGTTGCCCCTGGGTGCCTATCCTACCCGCTGTCGCGATATGGGTTAACTGCTATTTGATGGCCTCTCTAGGTCTTCAGGCTCTGATCATGGTCACTGTCTGGCTCGTAGGTTTCCTAACTTAAGTGTATCTCTATCATGTTTTGCATTAGATTCTCGGCATCGTAGTATATCTAACCTATGGTGCAAGGCACAGCAAGCTGAACTGATTGATTACCATTCCCAACCATAAATAGGCTTCGATGAAAGGATGGTGAAGCGGTCTTCTATACTGCCAAGGGACTGCTTGTCGTCAGAGCATCATGCAAGTGGGTACTTCTCTGCAGTTTCTACAAGTATTAACTACATCGAGCCTTATGTATATCTATAACAACTCTATTACGCTCACTATCATCTACTACAGTTCTGGTGTTCATACAGCTAATTCTGTTACAACACACTATGTAGCTACCATCTATCGTACTGTCGTTTTCGTATGAATCTCGATCGTTATTGCATAAAGTTGCCTCTCGCTCTGATATACCTAATTGTCGAGTTGAAGTTAGTAAGAATGAGCAAGATCACGTGCATAGTCAACCACACTGTGGATATGGAGACAGCGGACACAATAGCAATTCCTTTCGTCAGCATTGGCTAGCAGTACCATCATAAGAATAAGTAACTGAACACGCCATCCATGGAGCTGGGGACTAAAGGTGAGACGGTCGAAGGCGATTGTTATAAGGTGGTGGACCGTATTGGTCGTGATGATGGTAATCGTGAGGAGTTGTTCCAAGATGGTGTTAAAGGGGGATCAGCGAAGCCGGCAAGCATCGATATATGGCTACTATTACAAATGGGGATGTTCGGCTTCGTTGCCTTATCACCTTGGAACTTTGTATTAGCAGAGCTGGCCTACTTGAATGGAAAGTTCGAACATTACTTCGGCTCCACCCTACCAATATTTTATGGATTAGCCGTTAACTTCACTCAGATATTACTAATATGTTACGGTAATAGGTTCACCTTTATGCCGAGGTTCACTTGTGGTTGTTTCATGTTATCGATTTTCTCTATATTACTTGCTGTGTTCGCGATGACGATCGGAGAAGATAACCCAGTTGACAAGTCTGGTCTGGGATTTGCATTGGGATTGATATGTGTATTCTTCCTCGGTACTGGTTATGGCTTACTAGAATCCTCTGCTCTAGGTCTAGCTGCTCTCTGCTCACCCAAATGTATATCTGCTATAATGGTTGGTGAGGGAGCTAGTGGTCTCCTAGGTTGGCCTATTAACACACTCCTCAATTTAATACTGGAATCCTCTAATATCAATCGAGTATCCGAATGGAGATGTTTCATTTTCCTTTTTATAAGTTCCCTGATAGCTCTGATAATAATCCCAATGTTTCGGTTCAGTACATCAAAGCATCCTTATATGGCCCAGGTATTAAAGATTGAGGCATCAAGGAGAGCTTCTACGGTGACTTCAAGGCAGACGCGAAGGCCGGTGATCAAAATCGTGTGGGAGGTTCTACCAGTTGCCCTTTGTGTGTGGTGCACTATGACTGTAACCTTCACAGTGTTCCCATCACAAGTTGTACTCTGGCAGTCATCCAACCCGAGTAACCTCGGTTTCGTTGCCCAGGTCACGTATACATTTCAGGTGGTGGATACCATTGGCCGATTTTTGCCAAGTGTTTTACCAAATTTACGTCTGCGTTATTTATCAGCATATGTTGTATCACGTATAGTGCTCATACCACTGTTCATCTGTACGTCTCTTTATTCAACTACTGCCCCTTTCGATCATGACTGGTTCATGCACATCGAAATGGCTCTCCTCGCCTTCACCAATGGCACTTGTGTGACCATGTCGATGGTTGCTGGGCCTGGTCGAATATCTGGTGACAAAGCGGAACAAGAAGTTGCTGGTTACACAATGTCGTTCGGTATTGTGAGTGGTATTCTCTTTGGAAGTGTTTTCGGACTTCTAACAAATGTTGGTTTAGACCAGTAGAAGTGGTAATATTGCGAACCACCTTTTGTTGAACCATGCTTATTTTAATTTGAGCTGTATCTACTAATAGTTATGAATTCTATATTTTTTGTCGATCTGAAAATCGTTGCGTTGTAATGGGACTTGAAACCAACTAGAGATGCTCCTCACTGGCCATCACACCAGAACCTTATACGCAACGGCCTTTGGACTCTACAGAAACGTCACTATCATCACAATCTAATAGGAATGGGCTCATTAGGCTTGACCATCTACCGTTAGAAGGCTGAGATGATCTCCAGACCACGAATTCAGAATGACCTTCCATCTAGGTAGTAGCTCCCCTGCTTCCTATAAGACGCTTGAAGAGTGCTCTTGCTACGAATGGTTTGGACTCTCTGAGTATATCTAGTTGTGGATCAAGACTACGTCCAAGGCCTTCTAATACCATAGTAGCACATACAACACTTACGAAATTAGCTTCTAATCTTACTGAATGCTTACATGCCAATCCGAGTAGTTGGGAGAACATTATACCTATTTGCATACTTTGTAAAGATACTCCTCGAGCTGAGTCCACCAACTCCCCCACCCCCTTTATAAACTCATCGGGCTTGTATACAGTATTAGGAGGTGATCTCGAGCGATCTATCATAAGACGGCCAACCTCAGTAGACTCTCCTATCATAATAGCATGCATTAGATCAACAAAGTTGGTAAGATCTCTATTAGAGAGCTCATTAGCCAGACCACAGTCTAAGAACACCAATCTCACTGTACCCGCAGCGGCCGCATGGCTATCAGCACTAGTATCACTGGGATCAGTCATCGATGGTACTTGTACTAGGATATTGCCTGGATGTAGATCGCCGTGTATAAAGTTGTCAATAAAGAGCATATGCAGGAACGCCTTAACACCCATCTTGCAGATCTCCCTCTTTGACACCATCATCCCATCAATCATAACATCATCATCACCATTCACCTGACCATTGGTAGGTAGCAATGAGCCTATGGGTACACCAGACTCAAATGACTCAATAAGAACTGTTTTAGTGGTGAGGTCCGAGTAGACTGTAGGGAACCTTATAGAGCCGGTATAATCCTTGAAGTTATCATTGAATCTCTGTATATTGGCAGCCTCAAGTCTTAGGTCTGTCTGGGATAACAGGAAGTCAGAGAACTGCTCTACCATGTCCGATACACCTAACATATGCTCAAGTGGTGGTGGTAGTAGCATGATTAGTACCTAGATGCCTTAGGAAAGGTAGATGCTCAGCTACATGTCCCAGAGCTTTGAGTATACCAAGGTCAATATTGATAATATCCTGACATCCTGGATGGGATACCTTCACTGCTACATCATGATGACCATTGTGTAGTAGTGTACCCCGATGCACCTAGTGATGGATAATACCACTGAGACCCTTGTCAATCATGATTACCTGAGCAATGCACCCACTACCTATCACTGATGGATCGATCTCTAACCATGTACGCCATTCAGGGCCATAGGACTGAACACTACCATATAGTATCATGAGGGTGATGATAGTAATACCTCATCTAGCTGCAGTAATGTATCCCTATAGGAGTGAGGCCGTACTTGGGTATGTAGCTGTGATAGATATGATATTATGGTATCATTGAAGAGATCTCTACGAGTAGCCTATAGAGAATAGTATTTGAAGAGGATTAATCATCAATATAGTATTACAGCCCATTGCCCTAGTTTAATAAAGGCAGGACCGCTACTCTCAATACAATGAACGAGCCATTGCCACCACCAATTGTTGCATTTCCCAATACCTGCTCATCATCATCATCATGATTAAGAAGGAGATGATAATAACTATAAGTCTGTTGTTACCCAAGAAGAGTATAGGGGAGGTGGCCAAGCATGGTCCGAATCGGAAGAATAATTGAATTAGTCTCCATAGAGAACGTAGCAATCGCTGTAAGAAGGATAGCTTAGGCTCGTTGGCCTTATCCAGCCTGGGTGTGGTATGAGCTCGTGGTTCTAGCATAGTACTACCTGACGTACACACTAGTACCTATCGTATATGGCTACCTACATGCAGCTCCTTCAACGTGCCGCGGGGCAATAACGTCAGCTACGGCACCAGACAGGCCCTGTCTTATACTACTACCATAGCGAGCGAATGATGCTGGTGTATCACAATATACCCTATTCATAGTCCAGTAAAAGCAGCTTGGCTTGTATGCAGTACTCCTAGTATCCTGCCCTAGAAGTCCAAGGCCTACCAAACCCACTGCCCCTGCTGTTGTGCCCATGAGCTTTGGTGCTAGGCCTCGTAACCCTAGCCCTAGCTGACTACGTAACGTATTAGCTAACAGAGAGTATATCGAGGGGGAACAAGCTGCTGACATAAACTACAAGGGTCTATGGGTTGACAGCGGACAAATACTACAACAAAACAGGTATGCTAGTGATGATAATGATGATGATAATCATGTTACTGTATGATGATAGTGATAGTATACTGCATAGTCATCAATAGTCGAGCATAAGGCTGATTAGATCCTGAATGCTTACCACTACATCAACAACGGTAATGCTGTAATAATTACTGATACACCCTTCCACCCATAGCCTCCCTCATCCTTTCTACCTCCTCAATAAGCTCATCTGTAGATGTATCACTCCTGGTAGTTGGCAGATCCTAATAGTGTATATACTCACCATACACGGGATAGGCATCACCTTGGTATATTCATCAAGATTACTCCTACTAGTAGAGGAACTCCCTGTTATTGAGTAATACTGTTGATAACCTGTATTACTCCTTCTCTTCCCTCTACGAGGACTCCATACCCCTAGATCTACTTGCCGTCTATACCTACTACATGCTACTACTACACCAATCCTCAGTCTACTACTACCTCATAGAGCCCGATATCAAGCGATCCCTCATAGCCTCACGATCCCGTTCTGCTACTGCTAACCTACATGATCAACACTAATCCACCAACTATACTCGTCTGCTCGCCCTCCTACTACTACTACTACTTCTGAGTATCCACGATAGCAGGTGGTACCGCCGTAAGCCTATTGAGCATCTTCTTATTCTGATGAGCTAAACCACCCCATTGACGATACTCTTGCTGCCTTCTCTGTGTAGCCTCTTCTATTGCCTCTCCCTTGACAATAATCATCATATATAAGTGATGGTGTAGTCGTCGTCGTACATGATACATTTTGTTACAAGTACGCTGTGCTTGTCTCTTTCTCTCCTTATCTATGTTTAGCATCTTATCGAGTAGTATACGATTCTCTAGCTGTATCTCGGCATTCCTCTCTTCCATTATCAACTTAGCCTTCCTCTTGTTCTTCAAATGCGACATCTCCTTTGGGGGCTTATTATCGATACCTATACCATCATCAACACATACCAATATGACTTAGACTACTCGACTTCACACTATCCAACGCTATTAGATGCTTCTTGTGCCTGTCACGTTCTGCTCGCTCGAAGCATATCCTACTCCCACCACTGGTGACACTAACAATGACACTCTATATCCCTGTTATTGCATGATATTATTAGATCACTTCCATATGTTAGTGAGGAGGCCACTACTCTTCTCTTTGCCTTCCTTACGCATTATAGGCAACGAGAATGCTACCGAGAATACTACCGAGCTCAGGCTGCTGACTCAGGCTTATTACCAGTCCGACAACTATAACACAAGATAAGATACTGGAGCAAAGGTACAGACAACAACCGCGCTACTGTTTCCCAAGCCTAATCTATGATGACCCTGGTTGTTGTTGAATGAATGATGATAGGTAAGAAGTAGCCAATATAACTAGCACCAGGATAATGATGATCATAACGAGAGTGACAACAACGCGGATATGGATGAATGATGATGATGATGATAGAGACAATAAAGAACAAGACCATCGGATCGTGAGTAGTTGCAGATATAACGAGATGATGTCGACAGGTTCAATTATGCACAAGGTTCTTAGCATTCGAGACAACAGCAATAAAAGCTGTGATGGCAATGAGAGTAGGGCAGGTGTGATCTCATCACACTGTAGAGGAATGTAGCCTTAAGAGTACAGCCAACATGATGATACAGTCAACAACTTCATAACTGTACTCATTGCTGCTGCTGCTGTTCATAGTGATACCAAATAGCTACCTTCATTGCTGTTAGCATCACTAATACGAATAGACCTACTGAGCAGTCTATCGGCACAGATGATAAGTATTACAGTAGGATATGTATCATAGTAATGCTACACCAACGATAGTATCACGAGCAGCACTAGAGAGGATGGCGAGAAGAGAAAGGTGGTGGTGGTGGTGATGATGGTCCTGTAAGTGCGGCAAACGCTACTACCACCTACTGCAACACACTAGCACGATAAAGGAGGAGGAGGGACAGAGGGAGTATCGACACACTCCAGAGTAGAACCATACAAACATCAGACTTGGAGGTATATCTAGGAGTAGTGGCATTTGGTATGCCACAACAAGAATGATAAGATGCCGATGATGGTAGGGATAAAGTGTTATTTCAAGAGGAGCTTCACAGGATACACCATTTAGTTCTATCACAACCATCATCACTATCTCAACTGTATACTTATGACAGTTGCTATTACTATCATCATCGAACTTATACTTCTTGTGATGGGAGCATACTGATAGATGCACCAATATCGGCGTACACCAATAGGCACCAGTTATGGTCTGCATTGAGTGATAATGATATACTATCATCATTATCCATGTTATGATGATCATCGGCATGTTCTGTATTATTATCGATAGTGTCCAACAATTCAGTGACTATCTCATCATCAAAGTGCCGCCAATGTGGGGATATTGATGTAAATGATGATGTAGCCGTTAAAGGATGGGAAGAACAGCCATTATCCTTCTCCTGGCCTGAATAAGGAACCATATTATTATTATGTACACATTGATGATATATTACTTATCGATGACGTAGCGACTCTGCCTTCTCCAATATCGGAGTGATCCTCATCCACACACTCAGTAGTACCACCAAGTGTTGCTGATAATCCAGTAGCAGCATCAGTAGCAGTAGCAGTTCTAGATGGTGGTGTGGTGGGGCATACCGGGGCGGGCCTACTGAACGCCCAATAGTGCCCACTGGTTGCTCCTAGTCCGGAACGGCTTACGACCTATACAAGGATGATGACTGCCGACTCCATCACAATGATTATTACCCCCAATAGAGTGTACGTCTTATCAGCTTGAGGATGGCTCTTCCCACCTGCAAGGCAAGTCGGAGGGATGTTAAGTATCCCTGGGAAGGGTACAGAGACCTGATCATCATGAACATCACGAGTATAACAAGTAGTATGATGCCTTTATTACTTGTGTCATAGTATGCATACTCTCTGTCACATGACGGCTAACCTCGATACACAATACATGTGGTAGTTGCTCAAGTAGCATTGATTCACTATGATGACTTTCAGTAGATGGTGGAGCCCATGGAGATGTCTCATGATACCTGAGTACAATAATGATGTCTGATCATCATTGAATAATAGAGTAAGAAGGACCTACGTTCGTTTAAGGAGATCCACTAGATCAATCTTAGTGGAGTTCCGTGATCCAGATAGATGATGGTGCCTTGGTGGAGGTGGTAAGGATATAAGGGTAAAACTAAGGACAATTACTGCTACAACAACAGCAGCCGCCGCCACCGCCAAGTCGTACTGCTCCTACTCGTGGTAGTAGCATTACTACCTTTCAACTTGTTTAGTAACTTTGCCATTAGGCATGGTATGGTGTACTGTCTTAATACCACGGAATATCCTATAGATGATGGAATCCTCTAGTACACCCGGTCCAGTGAGGCAACCCTCATCTACTGGCCACTCCCTACGCCATTTACACTCATCGTGGAGTTTATCCTGAATAAGGTACTACCAATGATGGATTCCTATGTAAAAGTATTACCAATACGGTATCCAATGCCTCTGCAGAATCATGTTGATTACCGAGACCACCAAAGTACTCGAATACAGGCTGCAGTGACTGAATTGTAACCAAGCTAGTGCAGGCTTGTGGGGATGCTGTAGAAGATGATGTGATTGATGATGATGAGGAGGAAGGAGGCTCCTGATCAGCATCTGCCACCAACAGTAAGGACTAGTGAGCCGATAGACCAGTCACGCATGGTACCATTCGGGACGGTGTTGGTAGTAGCTGGTTGGAAGAAGGGCCTGCATGCTGCTGCAATAGCCCTAGTCCATGGATACTCATCCTTCTCACTATCACGCATGGTACTCATTGCCAATGATAAGTAGGTCATTAGCCCTGTTATTGGTAGTAATACCTACTTATTGTTTACCACTAGTGATGAAGCTAAGGATATTACCTGTATCATAGCATTAAGATAGCAGACTCTAGTCTGTGAAGGATTCTTCATACCCATTGGACGATATCTAGGTTGCTTTAATGCAGGATGCTCCTGATAATAATATGGAGGAGGATATAGACTACTAGCATACAGAGCATCATCATTACCTGACATAGTGGTAAGGGTCGAGCACCAGCTGTATCCTCCCATTCCTTCAATGTCTTCACATTTAGATCAGGTGATAATGATTTGTTACCTGAGGTTTCGGGACATGATCAACAACATTCTAAAGGACTGTAACCCCTCACCAGCAATGATCTGCATTGCCTCCATAAAATGTACAGCTACTGTACCAGCTACCTGATCACCTTTGGCCACCGCCCCAACTGGTGCCGCTGTTCGCTGTGTATCACTGCTGGTGGCACCATGCTCAGTACTCGAGCCATGCTCTACCACCTCCGATGCAGGAGGTGTTGTGGCTGACTTACCCACAGGTAGTCGTGTACCCCAAGCCGACACCAAGCCAGTTGGCTGATCATAATAACAATGGCGTGTTGCTTCTTGATGCCATGCTGCTGGCCGGCGACACCTACCTTCCGTGCTGCCGGGGGTGAAGGGGGTACTTCACCACCCTGTATCGGCGGCGTCCTATGCTGCCCGTGGTTATTGTGCTCAGCATTACTGCTCCTACTGCTACTGGTCGTTGCAGTATTCTTAGAGCTATCATTGGGATGATCATAGGCATCGAAAGCCCCTTTTTCGGTGACCTGTTAGGATCATCATGCCAATCCCCTTATACCAGTATTCCTCACCACAATATCCGCCTTATCCGCTGATCCCAAGTCCTGTGCTATCACACCAGAAGTGAGCACCTAAAATTCATATAGTTATGTTAGCCCCCCTTCACACAGCGATCCCTCACAGATCCTTCCTTCTGTTCACTGTGAATACCATCCTTCCCTGCTTCACCGCTGTGATTAATCTCAACAGATCCCACACCGTCCTCAGGTGTATTAATAACAGGAGTAGGAAGTATGTGCACATCGCTCGTCGTGGTGGTAGTCTTCTGTATCGGTGTAGTAAGCTTAGCAATTAATCCAGGCCTCCTCCTCCCTTTACGCTGATCATCGTTATCAACAACATCCTCATCAGACTCCTCATCGTCCTCCTGTTCTTGCTGTTCACCTATCCCATCAGCCTCATATGAAGCTTGTCCCACTCCTTCTGGTGTAGACTCTTGTTGTTGCGCTTCTTGTTGTTTAGACCAGACGCTTCTTCTCTTGTTGTCGGACTTCTAACAAATGTTGGTTTAGACCAGTAGAAGTGGTAATATTGCGAACCACCTTTTGTTGAACCATGCTTATTTTAATTTGAGCTGTATCTACTAATAGTTATGAATTCTATATTTTTTGTCGATCTGAAAATCGTTGCGTTGTAATGGGACTTGAAACCAACTAGAGATGCTCCTCACTGGCCATCACACCAGAACCTTATACGCAACGGCCTTTGGACTCTACAGAAACGTCACTATCATCACAATCTAATAGGAATGGGCTCATTAGGCTTGACCATCTACCGTTAGAAGGCTGAGATGATCTCCAGACCACGAATTCAGAATGACCTTCCATCTAGGTAGTAGCTCCCCTGCTTCCTATAAGACGCTTGAAGAGTGCTCTTGCTACGAATGGTTTGGACTCTCTGAGTATATCTAGTTGTGGATCAAGACTACGTCCAAGGCCTTCTAATACCATAGTAGCACATACAACACTTACGAAATTAGCTTCTAATCTTACTGAATGCTTACATGCCAATCCGAGTAGTTGGGAGAACATTATACCTATTTGCATACTTTGTAAAGATACTCCTCGAGCTGAGTCCACCAACTCCCCCACCCCCTTTATAAACTCATCGGGCTTGTATACAGTATTAGGAGGTGATCTCGAGCGATCTATCATAAGACGGCCAACCTCAGTAGACTCTCCTATCATAATAGCATGCATTAGATCAACAAAGTTGGTAAGATCTCTATTAGAGAGCTCATTAGCCAGACCACAGTCTAAGAACACCAATCTCACTGTACCCGCAGCGGCCGCATGGCTATCAGCACTAGTATCACTGGGATCAGTCATCGATGGTACTTGTACTAGGATATTGCCTGGATGTAGATCGCCGTGTATAAAGTTGTCAATAAAGAGCATATGCAGGAACGCCTTAACACCCATCTTGCAGATCTCCCTCTTTGACACCATCATCCCATCAATCATAACATCATCATCACCATTCACCTGACCATTGGTAGGTAGCAATGAGCCTATGGGTACACCAGACTCAAATGACTCAATAAGAACTGTTTTAGTGGTGAGGTCCGAGTAGACTGTAGGGAACCTTATAGAGCCGGTATAATCCTTGAAGTTATCATTGAATCTCTGTATATTGGCAGCCTCAAGTCTTAGGTCTGTCTGGGATAACAGGAAGTCAGAGAACTGCTCTACCATGTCCGATACACCTAACATATGCTCAAGTGGTGGTGGTAGTAGCATGATTAGTACCTAGATGCCTTAGGAAAGGTAGATGCTCAGCTACATGTCCCAGAGCTTTGAGTATACCAAGGTCAATATTGATAATATCCTGACATCCTGGATGGGATACCTTCACTGCTACATCATGATGACCATTGTGTAGTAGTGTACCCCGATGCACCTAGTGATGGATAATACCACTGAGACCCTTGTCAATCATGATTACCTGAGCAATGCACCCACTACCTATCACTGATGGATCGATCTCTAACCATGTACGCCATTCAGGGCCATAGGACTGAACACTACCATATAGTATCATGAGGGTGATGATAGTAATACCTCATCTAGCTGCAGTAATGTATCCCTATAGGAGTGAGGCCGTACTTGGGTATGTAGCTGTGATAGATATGATATTATGGTATCATTGAAGAGATCTCTACGAGTAGCCTATAGAGAATAGTATTTGAAGAGGATTAATCATCAATATAGTATTACAGCCCATTGCCCTAGTTTAATAAAGGCAGGACCGCTACTCTCAATACAATGAACGAGCCATTGCCACCACCAATTGTTGCATTTCCCAATACCTGCTCATCATCATCATCATGATTAAGAAGGAGATGATAATAACTATAAGTCTGTTGTTACCCAAGAAGAGTATAGGGGAGGTGGCCAAGCATGGTCCGAATCGGAAGAATAATTGAATTAGTCTCCATAGAGAACGTAGCAATCGCTGTAAGAAGGATAGCTTAGGCTCGTTGGCCTTATCCAGCCTGGGTGTGGTATGAGCTCGTGGTTCTAGCATAGTACTACCTGACGTACACACTAGTACCTATCGTATATGGCTACCTACATGCAGCTCCTTCAACGTGCCGCGGGGCAATAACGTCAGCTACGGCACCAGACAGGCCCTGTCTTATACTACTACCATAGCGAGCGAATGATGCTGGTGTATCACAATATACCCTATTCATAGTCCAGTAAAAGCAGCTTGGCTTGTATGCAGTACTCCTAGTATCCTGCCCTAGAAGTCCAAGGCCTACCAAACCCACTGCCCCTGCTGTTGTGCCCATGAGCTTTGGTGCTAGGCCTCGTAACCCTAGCCCTAGCTGACTACGTAACGTATTAGCTAACAGAGAGTATATCGAGGGGGAACAAGCTGCTGACATAAACTACAAGGGTCTATGGGTTGACAGCGGACAAATACTACAACAAAACAGGTATGCTAGTGATGATAATGATGATGATAATCATGTTACTGTATGATGATAGTGATAGTATACTGCATAGTCATCAATAGTCGAGCATAAGGCTGATTAGATCCTGAATGCTTACCACTACATCAACAACGGTAATGCTGTAATAATTACTGATACACCCTTCCACCCATAGCCTCCCTCATCCTTTCTACCTCCTCAATAAGCTCATCTGTAGATGTATCACTCCTGGTAGTTGGCAGATCCTAATAGTGTATATACTCACCATACACGGGATAGGCATCACCTTGGTATATTCATCAAGATTACTCCTACTAGTAGAGGAACTCCCTGTTATTGAGTAATACTGTTGATAACCTGTATTACTCCTTCTCTTCCCTCTACGAGGACTCCATACCCCTAGATCTACTTGCCGTCTATACCTACTACATGCTACTACTACACCAATCCTCAGTCTACTACTACCTCATAGAGCCCGATATCAAGCGATCCCTCATAGCCTCACGATCCCGTTCTGCTACTGCTAACCTACATGATCAACACTAATCCACCAACTATACTCGTCTGCTCGCCCTCCTACTACTACTACTACTTCTGAGTATCCACGATAGCAGGTGGTACCGCCGTAAGCCTATTGAGCATCTTCTTATTCTGATGAGCTAAACCACCCCATTGACGATACTCTTGCTGCCTTCTCTGTGTAGCCTCTTCTATTGCCTCTCCCTTGACAATAATCATCATATATAAGTGATGGTGTAGTCGTCGTCGTACATGATACATTTTGTTACAAGTACGCTGTGCTTGTCTCTTTCTCTCCTTATCTATGTTTAGCATCTTATCGAGTAGTATACGATTCTCTAGCTGTATCTCGGCATTCCTCTCTTCCATTATCAACTTAGCCTTCCTCTTGTTCTTCAAATGCGACATCTCCTTTGGGGGCTTATTATCGATACCTATACCATCATCAACACATACCAATATGACTTAGACTACTCGACTTCACACTATCCAACGCTATTAGATGCTTCTTGTGCCTATCACGTTCTGCTCGTTCAAAACATACCCTACTCCCACCACTGGTGACACTAACAATGACACTCTATATCCCTCTTATTGCATGATATTATTAGATCACTTCCATATGTTAGTGATGAGGCCACTTCTCTTATCTTTGCCTTCCTTACGCATTATAGGCAACGAGAA